ACTGGCACAGACGTTAGCTCAGGGACAATCTTCTTCAAGCAAAAACAGGCAGATTGGCAACGGATGTTAGCTCAGGGCCAATTTTCCTCACCAAAAGGAAAAAAAAAAATTGAATTAGAAGGGGTAGTTTTAAAATTGTAAAGTATAACTTCTGTTATATTAAGAAAATTAGGGGCCAGCCCCATGGCCGAGTGGTTAAGTTCACACGTTCTGCTTTGGCAGCCCAGGGTTTTGCGGGTTTGGATCCCAGGTGCATGCTGAGGCAGCATCCCACATGGCACAACCAGAAGGACCACAACCACAACATACAACTATGTACTGAAGGGCTTTGAGGAGAAGAAGGAGGAAAAAAAAATTAAAAAGCAAACAAACCAAAAGGATATGTCTGGATACATATACACATGTAAGGAAATGCATAAAGAAAGGTCTGAAAGGATACATTCCAGGACGCATGCAGCCTCTACGGTAACCACTATAAGAATGGTAAAGTAGATGCAATTTCCAAAATAAAAAGTGAAATAATACAAAATAGGAATGGATGAAATGATCCAATTACCAAACACTCCAATTGAAAGACAATGATGTCCCAATTTAAAACTCTAGTTCTATGATGCACACATTAACCAAAAGAAGACTGACACAGCTATACCGAAATCAGAAAGAGGTCACAGATTGCAGAAGACTCAGGAAACTTAACTAAATACAACTTGAGACCTGGACTGGGTCCCAGAACAGAAAATGAACATTAGTGAAAAAACCAGTGATGTCTGATAAAGTGTATAGCTTAGTGAACAGTATTGCAACAACATTAATTTCTTAGTTTTGATAACTGTACTATGATCATGCGTTGTGTTAACATTAGACGTGAAGGTTTTACAGGAACTCCCTGTACTATTTTTCCAACTTTTTGGTAAGTAAAATTATTTCAAAATAGAAAGTTTAAAAAAACAGACTAGACTTTTTTTTTTTTTTTAAAGATTTTATTTTTTCCTTTTTCTCCCCAAAGCCCCCCGGTACATAGTTGTGTATTCTTCGTTGTGGGTTCCTCTAGTTGTGGCATGTGGGACGCTGCCTCAGCGTGGTCTGATGAGCAGTGCCATGTCCGCGCCCAGGATTCGAACCGACGAAACACTGGGCCGCCTGCAGCGGAGCGCGCGAACTTAACCACTCGGCCACGGGGCCAGCCCCAAAACAGACTAGACTTTAAAACAAAAAGCATTACTAAAGATAAAAAGGGACACTTCTTAATGGGCAAAATGGTTCAATTCATAGGAAGACAGACCAACTGTAAAATTATACACTTCTAATAATATGACCTCAAAATAAATCAAAAATTGACTTCTACTAGGGAGAAACAGAATCCAGAATTACGGAGAGAGATTTAACACACAGTAAACTGTCAGTAATGGTCAATCAAGCACACACACACGCGCACACACACACACACACACACGCAAATCAGTAAGGAAAGAGATTTTAATAACAGCATTAACAAACTTCACCTCATAGACACACACTGTACCCATCAACTGCAGAATTCACATCGCACACACTCACACTCACACATTTTTTTTTAAAAAAAACAACCAAATACAAAGCAAGTACTTACAGGTTTCAAATGATTATTCAATTCAAAATATTTTGATGGTAGTTATATGGGTGTTAATTTTTTATCATCCATTAAACTGTTTACATATACGTTATATACTTTTCTTTACGTGTGTTACATTTCACAATAAAGTTATTAAAAAGTTAACTGATCTATGTCATTTATCTACGTACTTATTTGTTTTTACAGTTTTTCAAAACTTGTTCCACAGCAGCAAAATCCTCAAAATAAAACTATGAAGATGGGAAGGTGGTATGCTTCAACAGAAAATAAAACAAGATTCAGGATTAAGGTTCTAGTAAAATGATCCCTGTTGTATTCTAGTAGCTTCCAAAACCCATAAATCCAAGGATACTAAAGGCAATTCTCAAAATAATATTTATATATAATCAAATCACCCTAATGCAGATCTATGGATAAAAAAGAGTGGACTACCAGGCTATATACATCCCAAACAGAATAAAATCTAATTAAAAATGCCTCCAGGGGGGCTGGCCTTGTGGCCGAGTGGTTGGGTTCATGAGCTCTGCTTCAGCAGCTCAGGTTCACTGTTTCAGATCCTGGGCGCAGACCTATGCACCACTAGTTGGTCTATGCTGTGGCAGCATCCCACATACAAGAACTAGAATGACTTACAACTATGTACTAGGGCTTTGAGGAGGGGAAAAAAAAAAAAAAAAAAGAGGAAGATTGACAACAGATGTTACCTCAGGGCCAATCTTCCTCACCAAAAAAAGCCTTCAATCCTTCAATACAGACAATACCTGATACCATGCCAAACTCATGCCAACTGCCAAAAGCAGTTCTATGGTAAATTTGTTCCATTGGTCATCCATTTTAATGAAACCCAAACCAAACTCAACATCAAAGTAATCATCTCTTTATGTTGCCAGTTTTGAGAGAAAACAAATACCTAGCGATTAAGTTATAGTCAAAAGAAATACAGAATTTATAGATAAATGGTTATTTTATTTTTCAAAAAGTAAAAGTAACATATTCTCAAATATATTTAAGATGATAAAAACAGAACAAAGTTCTGTTCACAAAAACTACAATGGACTACCTCTTTTCTTAAAAATTTTCTGAAATTAATAAGAGCAGTTTATTAGTCATCTATTGCTGCCCAACAAGTGACCCCAAAACTCAGCAGCTTAAAACAACACGTCTGTTATCTCAGTTTCTGAGGGTTAGGAATCAGGTGATGCTTAGCCAGGCCCTCTGGCTCAGGGGCTCCCCCGAGGTTGTAATCGAGGTGTCAGCCAGGACTACAGTTATCTCCAGGTTACCTGGGACCAGATCTTCCAACTTCACTCAGTGGTTGTTGGCAGGATTCAGATCCTAGCGGGTTAGTGAACTGTGACCTTAGTTCTTTGCAGGCTGTTGGCCAAGGGCCACCCTCAATTCCTTGACAGGTGGGTCTTTCTATAGGTCAGCTCATAACATAGCAGCTGGCTTTATCAAAGGAGCAAGCAAGAGAGGGCAGCAAAAAGGAAGCCGTAGTCTTTGGTGACTTAATCTCAGAAGTGACATCCCACCACTTCTGCCATGTGCTACTAGAAGTCAGCCTCCAGGTTTAGTCTCCCCAAAGGGGAAGGATTACACAAGAGTGTGAATCCCAGGGTTACCTTAGAGGGTTCCTATCACAAAGAGCATAACAGAAAGTCACCGGAATAAAAGTCAGGAGAACTGGATTCTAGTAACTAGCTGACTAAATACAATCTCAAATTCTCAGTTTTCACTGAAAAAACTGAGAGGGTAGCCTAAATGACCTCTAGAGTCATTTAAATTCTAAATTCTGTCCTTCTCTACTGTATCTTTTGGAAAAGATTACCAAAGATTACAGATACTTGGTCAAAATGCCTCATTTTGCAAAACAAAGTCGAGTCCCAGGAAGGTTAACACAAACAGGCAGTGAGCTGCAACCATTCTGCTCTTACGCCCAGCGCTCTTCGCACTATAGCGCACTGCCTTTGCAGTCAATGCCCTAAAACAGCCCTATCCTCTCTTTATAGTAGTCTTAAAGTCCAACAAACTCAAAAGAAAGAGAATAATAATGCAGTGCTAACAACAGCAGCAGGAGTTGATTAATGTTGTGCATTATCTCTTTTTCTCCCATCAACCCTCCAGTTATCTCTGTAGGCGGCAGGTGCTTGTATGAAAGTGAGCTAGCCTCAGCCCATCCCCAGTCCCAGGTATCTGAACATATTAGTGATAAGATCATGTGCTGGAAGTAAAGAACAAAAGCAACAGATCATAGATCATAGCAGAGAAACACAGCCACCTTAAACGAAGCAAATCCGATTAAATATAACCTCAATGAAGTATCTAAAAATACAAACTGCAACAGAAAAGACAATGTTTGTCGCCACTGGAATCCTGCAAAACAGAGTTCCAGACCTCAACAAAAGCAATGCAATGCAGGCACTGTCCAGGGGAGTAGGTACTGTAGGAAGCTAATGACGACAACCGGACTGACAGATAGATCCTTATTAATACAGAAACATCAGTCAGGAGGTGGTACCATTAGACATTTGTACTACCTAGATACCCTATTGGCTACTGTATGAGATCAGGAGCCAAGGCGGGGGGGCGGGGGAGGGGCACCTGTCAGAGAATCCCCTCCACCAGCACATACCCTTTACCAGCCTTAATAATTTGTAATGACTCCAACTTTGATTCAAGAAGAGCAGAGAAAACACTGTATATGAGTACAATTGTTTTGTGTGGGAACTACAAAGTAGGAATGTATTTGTATTACTCAAAATATATGTATATATACACGTATATAAATGCATAACTGTATCTGAAATTTCTATATAGGAAAGACTTGGGGAGAGCAGTGGGTTGGTGGTGGAAGTTGGGCCTAGTGGTTTATCTTGCATAACAATCAAGTAAGACTGAAAAAAAACTCAATTATCCATACCCCAAGCCTCTCATTAGCAATATATATCTAAATATATACCTAAATTCACTTCTATAAACCACCTAAAAATAAGAAAGTTTTAGCTAAAAATGTTAACATAGGCTGAAAAAATATTCAAGGAAAGTTTTTGATGGTACTGAGCAAAAGGCAGAGGGCCCAAAGTAAGAGTAAACGAACCGGAGAGCCCAATGGGGCATACAAGGAAGAGAGGACTGACATCCTGGGCACGGGTGCCACAGTTGAGGTTCATGGCCGAAGCAACAGCCCAAACTTTATTTCCAACATTAGGAGTATACTCTATCAGGTAGATATAAATTTCAATCAAGCCATCCTAAGATGGAACAGCTCAAAAGACAATATCCATTTCAAAGTATTGCAAAAAATATTTTATGCTTCTTTATACTTTTTTACTCAAAGTATCCAGAACTGTCTGGATACTCATCCCTCTTTTCTTTTCTCACTTCTTACCTCTCTCTTGTTCCTCAGCTTTAAAGGGATGGGAGAAAGCAGGAACAAGAAGGACAGTTCCGAGAAGTCTCAAACAGGTCTCCAACTAGTCTTGAGGTAAAACTGATAAAAAGCAAAGAAAGTGGGTTTAGAGATTTGAAATTTAAACCCAAAACACTAGAGCACACTCTACTTAATACCACTACGTATTTATACTTCTCCATATAGCCCATGTCAGTTAATGACTTCACCACCACCAATGGGCAAAAGATTGAATGGTCATTTTTGAACAGTCATTTTTCAAGATAGCAGGGGTTAGCAAACTATGAAAAAAGAACGAACAAAAGAAAGGAAGGAGAGAGGAGGGAAGAAGGAAAGAAGGAAAGGAAGGAAGAAAATACAGTCGGCCCTCTGTTATCTGTGGTTCCCTTTCGGCAGATTCAACCAACACCCAGTGGAAAGGCCTACAACAGTCGCATCTGTACTGAACACGTACAGACTTTTTTTCTCATCATTATTCCCTAAAAAACACAGTATAACAACTATTTACATAATATTTATATTGTATTAGGTATTATAAGTAATCTAGGATGATCTAAAGTATATGGGAGCATGCATGTAGGTTATATGCAATTATTATGCTATTTTACACATGGGACTTGAGCATCCGCAGATTTTGGAATCCGCAGGGGTCCTGGAACCAATGCCTGGACACTGAGGGAGGACTGCACAACAGAGACTATACACGGCCTGCAAAGCCTAAAACGCAGACACTCTCGCCTTCACACAGCACCGTCAACCGAAAACCTACAACGCAAGGAATGCCTATGTTTACTATCTGGCCCTTTACAGAAAATATGGTGACCCCTGCTATAGAGTCCACCCAAATGGCTAATAAACAGATGAAGAGGTGTTAAATATCCTTAGTTATTCAGGAAATTAGGGGAAAAACTCAATGTGCTATCACCATATACCCACCAGAATGGCTAAAATGAAAAAGACAAGGGTAAGTGTTGCAAGTCTTTGGAGGAGCCAGAATTCTAAAACACTGCTAACAAGAGTGTTAAGTGACACAACTAATTTGAAAAACGTTTTGGTACTGTATACCAGAAATACCAATCTGCATATCCTATAATATAGCCATTTCACTAGCAGATATACATCCAACAGAAATGTGCACACATCTTCACCAAAATACTTACAAAAATGTTCACAGAAGCCCTATTGGTAATAGCCCAAACTAGATCATTACTATGCAGCGTGAGTACAAACTACTGCTACATAAGTCGTATAAACTTCACAAACACAGTATTAAGCAAACATGAGACACACAGAACTATATACTGTCTGATTCCATTTATATAAAATCAATAATAGGTAAATTCAGATCATGTTAGAAATCGAGAAGTGGTTACCTCTGGAAAGGGAGCACAAAATGGGACTTCTGGGATGCAAATAATGCTCTTTCTTGATCTAGGGACCGGATACATGGGTATGCACATTTTGTGAAAATTCACTGAGCTGTACACTTATGATTGACAGGCTTTTCTGTATGTCTACTTTAAAAACTAACATACTAAAAGGATTCCTATAAACACTGCCTTTGAAGGAAAATTGTGTATATCTCCCATTCACTTTTTTAATTTGCCATCATTACCTCTTACCAATGAGCTATCTTAATTCCTATTACCTTATATAGAAAAGTCACCTTTGTTTTAATTTATATTCTTGGTATACACTTGCATAGGATACCCAAATGATCATATAACTATTTTAGGTTAGTTCCACACTCGATCCCAAGGAGAAACTCCGAAAAGCCACTAACTTGTGAGAGTATGTTAAAGTTACCTGGGGAAGAAAAAAAACCCTCCTAGAACTGGAGTTTTGTTTAGGCTTAGCTTTGACTACTACCACTGTGATTTAATCTGCATAAAACGTTCAAAGGAGCTTTTCAAAAAGCCTGTTCTTGTGGAAAGTTGTCTCTTTCCACCATCCTAATAACGCTGCTATCTTGTGTTTATCCAGTTCCTTCCATCCGTGGAGCTTAAAGTACTTCATAAGTACTGTCGGGGGGGGTGGCAACTTCTAGTTAGAAAATCTGCGGCCCAAGACATAGTGAACCAAAAGAATTCTAAGCGTGTTTTTCTACAGCATGGCTCAGCGTGCCGCCGAAACTTACACGTGTGAGAACTGAAATACAAGACGCTAAGTGACCCTCAAGGGCAGGGAGTCAATCACAGGTTGAGCCAGGACCTGAATCCTCTAACTCACCGAGACTTAAGGGAAAAACAAACAAACAAAAACCCACACCCTTGAATAAATGTCCAGCTGCTGAACTCTTGCAGTAGGAAACAGGGGAAGATGCCCAAATCATGGCCAGAAAGAGGACCTGACAACCCCACGACGCTGACCTTCGACCGCGCCCCATCACTCCCGGCCGCGCGGGGCCAGTATTCCCGGGGCGCAGAGTCCGCGCGGCCCTGCTCCAGCTCCTTCTCCTCCTCCCTCTCCTGGGAGGCTGCGGCCGGAAACTCCGGGCCGGGGTAAGCCCACCGCCGCTTTTCCGCGGGCGCCCGAGCCTCCCACCCACCCGTTTACCTGCGATGCGCCGGCCCCGCCCCGGGACCCGACTCTGCGCGCTCGCCCCGAGTTTCTCAGGCCCCACGCGCAGCCACCGCGTCAGCCAATCGCCGCTCGCTCGGGGCCTCCGGGGCCCGGGCTCACCCCGCCAGGTGCGCGCGTCCGCAAACGAGCAGGCGTGCGCGGCGGGGCGGGAGCCAGCCGCACGCGGCGCACGGGGCCCACGGGGAGCGGAGGCGGGGCGGGCGCGGCACGGGGCAGGCGGCGCGCACGGGGCATGCGCCTGCCGCGCCGCTCGGGCCGCGGGGCGGGGTCTGGGGCGAGCGAGCGAGTTGGAAGTCGTCGCAGGAGTTTGGAGAAGAAGGAAGGCGGTCCTTGACTAACGGGGCGGCTCTGGCAGGGCGGAGCGCTCAGCCGAGAGGAAGGGCGCGTGCTCCGAGAGCAAAATACGGTCTGGACGAGACCCAGTCTGCTTAGAGGAGGGAAAACGCGCGGTTAGGAACGCGTCTTGTGGCTCAGGGTTAGCGTCGTCGAGTCCCCGCGGAGCTGGCGGAATGGTGGTTTCCTGTGTTGTGTGGTTTGGGGTGAGAGGCAGAGCGGGGATGCGACCCGGGGGAGAGGACAGCGGGGCGTGTTGCGAAGTGATGGTTGCACGGGAAGGGCTGACGTTGCGCTCCAGCTGGATGAACAGAAAGCAATGCCTAGCTTCTGGCCCAAGAGCGAGAGTTTCAGACTGAAACTTGGAGGCGGTGACCTTTTTGACTTAAGTACTAGGAAGAGATCGGGATCTTTACTATATGGATTCTTTAAGACACAATGTTGAACGTTCCAGAATTAAACAAAAAAAAAAATTAAGTCCTCAATTCGTGGCCTCCGTGTTGAAACAAGAAAGGACTGGCATAGTTAACTGTGATGTCCTTGTTCCACAGATCAGTATTGCTTTTATAAATGTCACGTTAACTCCTTCAGACACCGAATATTTATTGAGCACATGCTATGTGCCAGGTACTGTTCTGGGTGTTGGATAATAAGCAATAATAACGGTTTTTTTTGCACGTTCCCAGAGATTAGGCATAATATGAACTGTTGACAGTTCCCCAAGTTGATGGTTAAAGTTAATGAACTTACATTTAGTAAGTGAAAAAAAGGAGAGTGAAAAAAAAAAAGACGTGAAAAAATTGGATGTTAGTTGGAACAAAATAGATTATAATAGTCACAAAATTAGTTATTATACTGTAAACGGGCAGCGCTCTGAAGAGGTTTGTTACAGATTCAGCTTTGAAGTGCATTTTTTCTTCAGTCAAGATCTGAAGCAGATATTTATGGACAGGAGGTACCATAAAAATATATGAGACAAAAAGAAGAGTGGAATAGTTTTGTCAGAGTAGGGGAAGGGCAATCCAATCAGGAAGAATGATTTTGGAAAGGTTTAGAGCCAACTCAAATTCTGTGTAAAAGAAAGGAGGGAAAATTGCTTTTCTTATCGAAGAATAGCAGGACATAAGGGGGGATGGTGACCACTACATTGAGATAATTCAAACCAAATAATAAATTCATAGGTTAAATTTGGAGAAAGTCATTATACTATTTTCCTGTGGATAGACATACATTAACTCTAGTTGTTTAAAGCTCATTATCTGGGTGCTGAGAGTCTCCAGGGTAAAGAGAAAACCTGTGTTTTCTTTCCTTTCAGTAACCTGTTTTTTTTCTTCCACCTTTTTTACTCAACAAGCTCAAACATTAGGCTTTTTCTCCCTGGTCCTTCTTCCACCTTTCCTGAAGTATTTCTTTAATGCCCTTTACCAGAAATTTTCAGACCACAACAGCTGATTTTTTTCCAGCCCCCATCCACCACCACCATCGCTCACATACACATTTCTTCCTTCTCTGTCCTGCTAACAGTTGCTAGTCTACAAGAAGTGAAAGAGACGGGTTAGAGCTTTCTTTCCTCTTAAGCGAATTATCAAAAATGTTGTCTATGCCCTCATCCCTCATATAAGTTGGGCTTTGACAGAAATACGGATAAAGAATGAGAGGGAAAAGAAAATGAACCCCTTTTCATTACAGGGAGCAAAAGAATGTAAGATGGTGAATACTCTCATGTCTACATATAGTGTTAGCCTCGCACAGTGTGCCTGCCGCTCCAATTAGTTCTAGAAATAAAGTAATGAAGAAAAGTTATGCATATAAGTAGCTGAGAATGCCATGTGTATTAGTTGGGGTTCTCCAGAGAAACAGAAACAACGAGATCTATATATAAACAGAGATTTTTATTCTAAGGGGTGTCTTGTTTTAATTTGCAATTCCCTGGTGATATATGATGTTGAGCATCTTTTCATATGCTTATTTGTCTCTGTATATCTTCATTGATATGACGTCTGTTCAGATCTTTGCCTATTTTTTACTTTTGGTCCATAATTGGGTTGTTTGTGTTCTTATTATTGAGTTTTAAGATTTCTTGGTATTTTGGGGATACATATCCTTTATTGGATATGTGTTTTGCAGTTATTGTCTCCAAGTCTGTGGCTAGTCTTTTCATTTTCTTAATAGTGTCTTTAAAAGAGCAGAAATTTTTAGTATTAATCAAGTCGAACTTCGCAATTGTTTCCTTCATGGATAGTACTTTTGATGCATCTAAAAAGTCATCACCAAATCTAGAGTCACCTAGATTTTCCCCTATGTTATTTTATAGCAGATTAATCTTGCTGCATTTTACGGTTAGGTCTGTGATCCATTTTGAGTTAATTTTTGTGTAAGGTATACAGTAAGTGCCTAGATTTATTTTTTGCACGTGGATGTCCAGTTATTATAGCACCATCTGATGAAAAGACTGTCCTTTCTCCATTGAATTGCCTTTGCTCCTTTGTCAAAGATCACTTGACTATATTTGTGTGGGGTCTGTATCTGGGCTTTTATTCTGTTTAGCTCTCCTTTCACCAGTACCACACTGTCTTGATTATTATAGCTTTATAATAAGTCTTAAAGTTGGGTAGTGTCAGTCCTCTGACTTTGTTCTTCTCCTTCAACATTGTGTTGGCTATTTGGTCTTTTGCCTCTCCGTATAAACTTTAGAATCAGTATATCAATATCATCAAAATAAAACCTTGCTTTGATTTTGATTGGGAGTGCATTGAATCTATAGATCAAGTTGGGAAGAATTGATATCTTGACAATATTGAGGCTTCTTTTCCATATACATGCAATATCTCTCCATTTATTTACATCTTCTTTGATATTTTTCATCAGAGTTTTGTAGTTTTCCTCATATAGCTCTTGTCCATATTTAGTTAGAGTTATACCTAAGTATTTTGGGGGCACGGGTCTAATGTAAATGGTATTGTATTTTTAATTTCAGATTCCAGTGGTTCATTGCTGGTATATAGGGAAGCAGTTGACTTTGTACATTAACCTTGTCTCCTGCAACTTTGCTATAATCACTTATTAATTCCAGGAGGAGGTTTTCTTGTTGATTTTTTTTTTTTGGATTTTCTTTATAAACAATCGTGATCTGTGGACAAATACATTTTATTTCTTCCTTCTCAATCTGTATACTTTCATGATTCATTTTCAGTTATCATATATGTAATTTTCTTAAAAATCAAGCTCATTTCTCTCCTGATCTCAGTGTCCATTCCTCTGTCCTCCACTATTCTCTTTCTTATGCATCTAATAGCAGAACTTCAAAATACGTAAAGCAAAATGTGTTACAATTGCAGAGATAAATCCACAATTAATATAAAAGTATAGTCAGAGATTTCAAACTCAACTCAATGATTGATGGAACAAGCAAACAGAAAATTAGTAGGGATATATAAGAGTTGAACAACAGTATCGACTGAATTACCTAATTGACATTTATAGAACACTCCACCTATCAAGAACAGAATACAAATTCTTTTCATATCTGCATGGAGTACTTACCAAGGCAGACCATAATCTACACAATAAAACAAATATAAATTCATTTAACAGGATTCCAATCCAGAGTGACATCAGCAAGATGGCAGAATAGGCAGCCCTGTACCCTCCTTCTCCCATGGAGACACAAATTTAACAACAATATATGGACCAATTGTTTTTGTGAGAAATCCGGAAACCAGTTAAATAGTTCTTGTACTACTTACTTGCACTTGTACCCAAGCCGAGTGTGAAACCAGCTGCCTCAAAGCCCAGTAGGAAAATTCAAGGCACTCGCTTGCAAGTGACCCACTCCCCAGCATGATGTGATTAGGAGGAAACCCTCAAATCCCAACTTCTCCCTGGGAAGAGAAAGAAGTGGAATATGTGTCCAATGTTCTGACTTTTCAGGGGTTTTCCTGAGGGACTGGTTTCTGTCTTCCCTGAATCTAAGCACTGACGGGAACAGGTGGCCCCTTTGCTGCTGAGAACAAAGGCGATCAATGTGCACCAGAGTCCACACTACCCACAGACAACAAGGTGGGGGTCCAGTACCACTGCAGGATGTCCTGTGGGACCATGACAGGACACTACTTACTACAGGACCACAGCAGCCGCAGCGTTGCCTACAGATGCCAGGGGGAGATCCTGGGTAGAAACTGGCAAGCCTGTTCACTTGTTAGATTACAGGCACAAGCCCAAAGAGGTCACATCTCTAGATAAGGCTTAAGAGGTGTTCAGAATCTTTAGCTGGACTCATTGGAGAAAGTCCTCACTATACAAAACCAGACCACAAAAAGTGGGAGAGGTAGCTGATTTTTCAAATGCTGAAGTCCCAACAGAAGATAAGACATACAAAGAAAGAGGGAAACCTGGCCCATTGAAGAGAACATATTAAGTCCCCTGATACCTACCCTAAAGAAATGGAGATATATGAATTACCAAAGAATTCAAAATAACCATCATATGGATGCTCAATGAATTAAAAGAGAACACAGATAAACAACTAACAAAATCAGGGAAACAATGCGTTAACAAATGGCAACATTAGCAAAGAGATAAAAACTATGAAGAAGACCCAAACAGAAATCCTGAAACTGAAGAATACAATAACTGAATTGAAAAATTCACTAGAGGAACTAAACATCAGACTTGACCAGAGAGAAGAAAGAATCAGTAAACTTGAAGACCGGACTTTCAAAATTACTGAGGCAGAGGAGCAAAAAGAAAAAAGAATGAAAAGAAAAAATGAAGAGGCTAAGGGACATCA